TGAATTAAACAGAAAAAAGGTAGCCTACTTTTACCACACATGGATATTTGAAATTAAATATCATTTCAGTTCCCATGTGACTTGCAGTGTATAGCATTTGTCCTTTTTTTTCATGTGATTGGTTGGCATTAATCTTTGACCTAACTTAACTTGTGTGGTACGTAAATATCAAAACCGATTTCCAAGAAAGTGTGTTGGATCTTGATATCATGCTATATTATAACTAACATCTATTCAATAAGATTTGTATTTATCATTTAACATGACACAAAAATTTTTCTATACATATAATATTTTGTGAGGTTCATATTTTTTGAAGCAAAAAGAAAAAAAAAATTATAGCATGCAAAACAATCTCTATAACATTACACAATCACTTTTCTTACAACATAACTCTTATAAAACCCATAAATAAAATGGAAGATTAAATCATTGTTTTCGCATCCTACGATAGAACTGAAAATTTGAGTTTCTCTGATATTTGAGAAATTATACCAATCTCTCTCAATTTATATATGCATTTATGACAATTTATTCCCTCTGCGACTCTTTATGGCTAGTAAGTAATTCTTGCATCTCCCTCCCAGTTTGAAATGACAATATTGCCCCATTTATAGAGAATGAAAGAGGTCTTCATCACTTTTTTTTTTTTTTTGGGAAACAGGTCTTCATCACCTTTAGTTCCAGTTGCAGTTGCGTCCAATGAATTTTTTTTTTTTTTTCTTTACAGTGAGGATTCTGATCTGTATGAAAGAGATTGACAATACTTTTTTTTGATTAAACAGAGGCATCCAAATTTCATTATAACATTTTGTATGATTAAAGAAATAAATTGATATAAAAAAAATTAAAAGATTAAAGCGATGACAATATGTAATATTGAAAGACGAGATTATTGACAATTTTTTTTTTTGATGACCAAATTAACTTGTATCTTTAAAGAACAAAAATAATAATTTATTGCAACTTGCAATAACAGAAAAGAAGAAACAAGACAAGAAGGATAAAGGCCAAGAAAAAGCCCTATCTCCTTAAAAGATATCTTCTTTTATAAATTCCCTTGCAATCACTTTGATTAAACCAATGGTTATCACTTTTCTTTTACCATTGGTTTAATCAAAGGCGTGAATATGAGTATTAAGGAAAAAGTGCTCTGTTTTCTTCTGTTATGCAACCAATTTGAAGGACAAAATAAATTATAAACTACATGATATTCTCTAGTTGCTTGTATAGGTACTGCACTACTTAAGTATATCTATGCGAAAAACAAAAGCATTCAACATAAAGAAAGTGCACCATGTTCAAATAATGCCCCCCCACCCACCCACCCTTCACACCGTTACGTTCCCTATTATTGTTGTCCTTTAAGTTTGTTGCAATACAGATTCCCATCCATAAGATCCTCAGACACCTCTTTCAATGCTGAAATGCCTTTGGACTGAGCTTTATGTTTCATCTGACTCAGTCGAGTTATTCTCATTTCTTGTGGTAGCAACTTCTTACTTTTACACCTAGCCGGATGCTTTATTTGGCTCAGGAGGATGGTTTTTCCTTGCAAGTGTGTTATGCGCAGAGGAACAAAATAAAATTGCATGGGAAGTAAAGCAATATGAGATAAAAAAAATAAAAGGGAAAATAAAATGGCACACACACACAAGACACAAGTATTTATGTGGTTCTGCAGCGTATCTATTCCATAGTCAAAGACAGATAAAAAATATCTACTAAAATAAAATAGAGTACAAAAGGTGAAAACAACTTTAGCATTCAAACTCCAATCCCAATACACCCCATAATCCTCATGGGATAATACACAAAAATTGAGTATACAAAGAAAGTTATAGAAATTAAAGTATCTGTCTCTCACACTCACTGATACAAACAATAAGAACCTACGCTTCTATTTATAAGCAATGAAAAAAGAGGCGGTAATTTTAATCCTTCAACGTGAAAAAATTGATAAACCTATAGTTTACCATGTTTTAAGGGATAAAATCATCTATACTGTATAGTCAAAAGCATGGAAACATATATAGGACTTGTAAAACGAGTTTCAAGTTAAAATAATGAGAACTGGTGCCAGAAACTGATACTGGCTATGAAAAGCGTGTACCAGAAAGGTGCTGCGAAAAATATAAGAAAAATATGATAATTCTTGTAAAATTGAGTAGGTTAAGAATCCTAAGTTTGAGATTAAAATGCTAAGCGTAAAAATTAAAGTTAATATTGTGTGTTAAATGCTTAAGTGACTATATATAGGCTTGTTAAGGCACAAAACCCTAGATAACTCCTTCATGTTACGTGACTTGTGAGGGTGGCTGACCAGAAATATTGTCCATTGGCCTTCTTCACCATTTCTTGAGCAAGTTGGCACCTTTTGCTTTGGTTCTTCTCTTTTCTTCTTGTAAACACTTGAGTGGATGTCTTGTGAGTGTGAAGAGTGACCTTGGGGAGTGTTCAACCACTCTTGATGAGTGGTTTTGAGGGCTAACTTGGTTGGTTGGGTGGTGGGAAGCCTTGTGTTGGCACTTTGAGCTTCAAGAAACCCTTTTGTTGTTCAAAGGATCAACCTTTCATCTCAGTTTCGTGCTCCTTGCAAGTCTGATTATTTGGAGCTGTTTGGTGAGCTCCAAGAGCCTTCCATTTCTGAGTTTGAAGCTTTGGTGAGTTACCTAACCTTGATCATGACTTTTAAGGGTTTAAAGGTGATGTCTTTGCATGTAAATGGGTTAAACAATTAACCAACATGTGTATGAACCTGTATAGGCCTAAAAATGGAGTCTTGAACGCATTTAATTGGTAAAAGTTGGACCTTTGGTGGATATCTTCGCGAAATGCAGAAACTGCATTCTGTCGCGAAATATCCGGATATTTGGTCGATAAATATCCGGATATTGATATCCGGATATTGATATCCGGATATGGGGATCTGGATATCCGGATATTGATATTCGGATATTGCCAGTGAGATATCCGGATATTGATATCCGGATATGCCCCCAACATATATCCTGATATTCTGGGTTTTCGATGAACAGTAAGGTACTGTTCATACAGAGGTCTTGTTTGGGTTTGTGGACCTTAGTTTGATGAAGTGGTACTTCTATGATAGATTATCTAAGTCAAAACCTAAGTGTTTAAGGGCTTGTGGCTTTGTGGGAAGCCTTAAGACGTAAAACGTAAAAGGAAAAAACGTAGTCTTTATGTTTATGCTTTGGAGCTATGTTATTGATATGCTTGCTGGTCCTACATCAGATTGTGATCTGCTGTGTTTTGGGCTTTGAGCTTTGATTGGACTCTTGGCATTGGATTGAGAGAGTGCAAGGTAAGCTTTCGTGTCCTCGGTTTAGCCATGTTGTGGTTCCACCATGTCCCATGGGGGTATGGTTATATGCATGTTGTGTTACATGCTTTTGATGTTTTAGAAATGCTATTGAGCTGTTATATGCTAGTGCCTTTATGATATGCATGTGGTGTTCCACCTATACGGTAAGCCTGAGTATGTAATACATACAATATGGTGAGGCTGTGGGTGAGGTGCAAGCGCTGTTCCTTGTACTATCTGTAGGTAATAGACGTATTCTTGCATTTCTCTGGCCAGTAGAATAGTTATAACACACATGTCATGAATATTTGCTGCACTGCATAGTTTTGGAACTTATACTGATATACTGCTTTTAGAACTTATATTGCACATGTAAGTGAAATTGGGGTGGAAGATCCTTGAGGACCCCTTGTCTTACTGAGATTTCTGGTTTAGAGATCTCACCCCACGTTTGGGGAATGTTTATTTCAGGTTCAGGTAACCAGGGGGTTGATACCTCTAGTGGCAGAAGGCTAGAGCTTAGTTGATACTTATTTATGCTGCTTAGCTGATTACTTGCTGTTATGACAATTATGTTGGATGCTGGATCTTATTTACTGCTTTATGATTTTAGCTTCAGTTATGGATTTCTATGCTGAGACTTTGTTGGCTATGTTGTTGATTTGGTGAGCATGGGGATTGTCCATGCCATATAGACTTGGTTATGTCTTGTTTCTTTTGGAGTTGTATTAATGTATCAGGATATTGTCCGGACTACGTGTTGTAGAACTGTGATCTTAGATACTCACTTTATCTATGTTATGAGGTATTCCAGTTAGATGTTTATTTGCAATTTACATAAAGGCGATATTTTATTAAAATGGTTAAGTAATCAACTTGGCTAATTTTAATGGCGTCATAATTGAAAAGAAAAAGATATTCTGCATTTTTAATTAAGCGCAGCTTAATACGATGATATGTTAACAAACCGGGTATACACGGGGTGTTACAGGTGCACTTGGCGAAGTCGTAACAAGTTTTTGGCGCTGTTGTCAGGGATTAGTCTATTTCAACATTAATAATAACTATAAGCACTTTAGATTGGACCTTTATTTTTTGTTATTTAATTTAATTTTTGCTATTTTGTTTGTCTTTATTTTATTTTTCGATTTATTCGAGGTACCATTGTCACTAGGTCTTTACAGTTTGATCCAGAGATAGAGAAAATTGCAAAAACAAATAGAAAGATCGCAAGGAAAAAAGACAGCAAAAAGCATCAAGTTCCTATATATTGGAGGAAGAGATCATGGCAAAAATCGACCACCACCTCCTCTAAGGACACTGGGAGATTATATGACTCCATCCAGAGTTTCGCCTACTGCAAGTGTTGTGAGGCCGCCAATGGATGCAAACAACTTTGAATCAAGCCATCACTACTGCAGCTGATCCAAGGTGAGCAATTTGGTGGAGGAGGTGCAGAGGATCCTCATCTTCACTTGGAGAATTTCTTGTTGTTATGTGATACTTTGAAGATGAACAGAGTTCCTCGAGATGCTATTTTACTAAGGATATTTCCATTCTCATTGAATATATAGCCAGAAGCTGGTTACAGGCACTACCTCAGGGGAACATTACTACTTGGGATAATTTGTCGACAAAGTTTCTAGCTCAATTCTTCCCTTCATCCGAATTAGCTAAGCTTAAGGCTGATATTTCCTGCTATACTCAGAAGGAAAATGAGTCGCTTTATAAAGCGTATGAGAGATTTAAAGGATTACTCAAGAAGTACCCATAACATGGACTTAAGATTTGGGAACAAGCTCAAATTTTTTTTACTAGAATGACTCATGCTTCAAGATTGATGGTTAATGCTGCAGTTGGAGGATCTCTTAAATCCAAGACTCTAGAAGAAGCACTTGAGTTACTTGAGTCTTTGGCATCTCAGGAGTTTGATAATGCTCTAGTGCAGCAGATAAAAGCACGGATCATGCAGTTAGAGGGCTATAATACGTTGTTGGCTCAAAATGAGCAAATAATGCAGATAAACAAGAGACGACAACAACAATTGGAAGCTCAAACCAATTCGCAACATTCCAAGTTTCTGCAGTCAATACTCCACCAGCAATTTGTGAAGTTTGTGGAGGTAAGCATGCTAGTAGCGAGTGTGATATTATAGGAGCACCGAAGTTAGCCCAAGTGAATTCGATTTGGTACAATAAGAGAAATCAGAATAACCCAATCAAAGATTTATCTTTTGAATAATCTTTAATGTCAAATTTCCTTTTTATGTTGAATGCATTTTTTATTTTTTCATGCCTTCTATGAGTTTGATCTTGTATATTGAGCTAGGGTGAGTGTATGACAATAGTGATGTTGGTACATGAACCATGCATGGTAAATTCATCGTTAATTCTTATGATTTTAGGGATAGACATAGGAATAATACAATCTTTAAGATTCTTGGATTTAATGCTTATTTTCTTTGAAGAATAAATGAGGAACTGGGATTTATTAAAGACAGTAAAGAATTAGGATTTCAAGGGATTGCGTCTTAATTAACTTAGGGAAATTGATTGGCGATATGAAAAAGACGTTTTGTTAAAGGTTTAATTCATAACATAATGGGGAGATCGGTGGAAATCGAAACCCTAGCTACATTTCTTGATTGTCAAGTAATCTAACTTTTACGTTTTTGTTAGTTATTTAGTTTAGTTTTCATATAATATTCATGATTAATTATCCAACATAAGCGTAAATAGCAAAATTAATGGTTCAAATTTAATCCTCGTGGGAACGATCTCGTACTTATACACTTTATTTCTCGTACACGCACTTGCCGAGTTTGCTACAAGTTTTTGACATCATTACAAGGGAAAGAAGACATCAAGAAGCTCTTAGTTCATTGTCAATAGTGGTAGCCACGATAGCAGACAATAATCCTCCCCATAAATAGGTGATGGATGCATTCATGACTATAAACTTCACTAAGGTCACATCAAGCATTATAAGACTAACAATTGCTGCAAATAATTTTGATATGCCATCACTACTTAAATTGGTCCAACATAATCAATTTGGAGGAGGCGATGTGGAAGACCCACCTTTATCTTGATAAATTCTTTTTTATTTGTGATACTGTAAAGATGAATGGCGTGTCTGATGACGCTTTCCATCAAGGTTGTTCCAATTTTCATTGAAAGACAAGACACCAAGTTGGTTGAATCAACAGCCTACAGCAGTATCAACTCTTAGGATGATCTAACAGTTAAGTCCTTGGCTAAATTCTTTCCAATGGTTAAGTACAATAAGATGGTGAATAAGATCACCAACTTTACCTAACAGGAAGAAGAGTCTCTGTGTTCTGTATGGGAAAGATTTAAAGTTTTGCTTAGGAGATGCTCGCAATATGAGCTATCTATTGGACAGAAAGTGCACATCTTCTTTAATTTTTTAACCTTTTCTTCTAAAATGTTCGTTAATGTTGTTGTAGAAGGTTCGTTGAGACAGAAAACTCAACTCAAGCATTAGAATAATTGGAGCCTATAGATTCATTAGAAAATGAAAGTGCTCCCACACAACCTAAGAAAAGAGTCATTCAACTGGAAAATAATGATGCAATGTTGGCCTAGCAAAAAGTCTCGTCTCAACAAATAGCAAAACTCATCAATCTGTTTGAGAGATATCAAGTTTCTGCTATTCAAGCACATCTTCCAATTTGTGAGTATTGGGAATGCAACAATTTTAGTAGCAATTGTGATGCTTTTGGGGGACAGACCCAGCTCAAGTCAACTATATAGAGAACCCACAAGAACCAGAATAATCCCTATGGTGATACATACAATCCCAAATGGAAGAATCATCTAGGCTTTTCATACAAATCACCATAGCAGTTGTTACCACCCCCTCCTCAGCAGAACAATACTTCAGAGTTAGAAAAAGCGCTTTTGCAACTTATAAGGACTACTATTGACTACATGCAAGGTACCGACACCTTAAAAAATGAGACAATTGCATTCACGCAAGAGACCATATTCTTTTTTAACAACCAGGAAGCATCAATAAGAAATTTGGAGAACCAAATTGGGCAGCTATCACGACAATTGGCTAAGAGGAGTCAAGGCATTTGTCCTAGTGACACAATTATCAATCTAAGGGAACACTGCAATACTATTACTACCAGAAGTGGGAAAATGATCCAGCCTATAACGAAATCTTCTGAGGATAAGAAGAATGCTATTGATTCCAATGTTGAAGAAAACGAGAAGGAAGAGGTTGAGGATACTATAGGAAGGAAGGCCACTCAAGAAAAAGTTAAAAGGAAGGAATCTCAAGAGAAGCAAGACAAGCCTTAGGAAGTCACCTTATGCGCGAGCTTCTTATCCACAGAGACTCAAACAGCAGATTCCTGTTATAAGATATACTGGATGACCGCTAGGACAATATTGCAACTGGATGACCGCTTCACAAAGCAAGCTTATGGCATTATATAATATATACTAGTCAAGGTAGACAAATTTATCATTCCTGTTAACTTTGTTATCCTTGATATAGAAAAAGATGTTATTGTTCCTATGATCTTTGGGAGACCCTTCTTAGCAATCTCAGGAGCGTTGATTCATGTACCTAAGGGTGAGTTAATCTTTAGGGTGTCAAGAGAGCGAGCAATATTCAAAGTTTTCGAGAAAGTAGTTCCACCGCCTATAGCTCAACCTCAAGACCAAGTTTGCTTTATTGATGAAAAGAGAGATGGGGAAGAACACAAGGAGAAGTCTACTCAACCATATGAAGAATGCAAACCAAAGATTAAGATGAAAAAACCTAGGATCAAGGGAAAACATGTAAAAGCTAAGTTTAGAGTTCTTGAAGCTACTTTATCTCATCCATATGAATAGGAGTATTATGGAAGTGCATTTTATTTGACTGAGGGGGTAAAGTCATTACTGAGCCCATGTTTCCAACCATCATGATCACAAAGAGGTACGTTAGGCTCGTGACGTTAAACAAGTGGTTGTTGGGAGACAACCCAATAATTTTCGGCTTTCGGTTAATTTAATTTTAGTTTTCCGTCGTTATTACTTTTAGTTTATTTTGAATAAATAGGAGATGTTGAATTTAGTACCCTGACAATTTTTTGAGCTAACTTTTCTAACTTCTATGACATTCATGATCATCTTCTTCCTAGTACGTGCAGAAAGTTTTATTTTTGGTGATGTTTGCGATTTAATTTGATTGCTGAGGACATCAATATATTAAATATGGGAATGGAGGAATGCAAGGCATCGTTTGATACACTGTGAGGTTGGAGAGGATTTCATGAGCATGTACTGAGTTATCCGACTAGAACAAGAAACTATCTCAACTTTTTTTTTAAAATTTCTATTTTTCATTTTTATTTTTTATATAACTTTTTTTATTCAGTTTGTTGTGTCCCCCATCTCCATTTATTATTTTTGGTGAATAGAAAAAAAAATTCTAGCGTAAGAAAAAAAATGTTTGATTAGTGATGGTGCATAAGTGGATGATTGACAAGAAAATTGATTATTGTCTTGATCAAGAGTATGATGATGTAAGTTATTATTTTCTATGCACTGATGAGCACTAGTTGGGTAGGTTGAATAATTCACTGGAATATTAGGAGAACTTAGAGTGATTGAGCTGGAGAGTAGGAAATTAGTCTTGCACCCGTAGTTGTGAGCTTTTGAGCCTAAACAGCTAAATATTTATTTGGTGTGCACTTCACTACATGAAAAACTCTAAAACTTATTTTGTTTCTTACTTAAAATGGTATGTGGTATATACTTGTCAAAATGATTGAGGCATTCTTTTTCTAGTAACTAGATAGCCAAATAAACCACCCTGTATGTTAATTCCTTTGATCAAGCCCTTGAGCCTAGGCCTATTTATTCTTTGATGACATATTCATGTGAGTAGCTACTCCACATACATATCCTCACCCAATTTAGATTGGACTGCAGATTTAGAGTAAGAATTGAACATAATTATCGTAAATTGAATTGTTGATGTATGAGAGGTAAAGGTAGAAAGGGCAAAAGTCAATGACATATGATGTCGTTAGAAAAAAAAGTATGCATAGAAAAACAAAAAGAAAGAGAAAAAGGAAAAAGAAAGAAAAAAAAGAAGAAAAAAAAGGAAGTTTAATTGTTGCAAAGTTATTATGTTTCATGAACAAAAAGGTGTGAGAAAGTGCAAAAGAGGAAGGGTTGAAAAAGAAAAAGAAAATGTGTTTTGCAAATGTGATATACAATGATGCTTATTCCTTTTTGAATTTGATTTCTAGTCTTAGAGACATTTTTTTCCATTTATTAATTTCCTTTCCTTTTAGCCAAGCCCCATTACAGCCTTAATAAAAGACCTCTTGATTTACTGTGTATACCAGGAGAGTGAGAATATAATCAAGCCTATAGCATGAGTGAAACACATACCCTCAGATATTGAAGTGTGAGTGAATTGAAAATCCTAGTAAGTTTATTATGGTCCTGGCGCATGTAAGTGGAGAGGCAGAGGCAACCAGTGGTGTTGGCACTTCCAACGTGGAGAAATAGAGGCAATATGACGTTGGCACCCTTAGCGCCAGCTCACTTGGTTATTTTCGTTGTTTTTTCTTACGCTTTCCATCTTGATTTTCTTCCAATGAGTCAAAAACCCTACAGAGCACAAGAACATAAGAATTTCCTATGAAAATACTCCTGAGAGTACAATAGCACTTTAATCATAATTATGATGTCTTTGGTTATATTTAGATCAATTTCATACTCAATTTGACTCTTAATACATAACAAGTT